TATTTAAGTTGTTGGTAAAGAAGATACTCTTATATAAGTCTTACACATATATTAATTGGCACATAAAATTTATATAAAATTATAATCATTCATTTTTTATGATCAATTGTTGAGATTAATCACAACTTTTTAAATAAAAAGATAATTAAGTTTTAAAATAAAAAATAAAATAGATAAAGCACCAAAAAGAAGCAAAAACAATCTAATTCATGCTTTAAAAATAAGATATTTTAGTTTTTTTTAATGAAAATTTATGAAAATAACATAGTTTTAAATTGATTTTCTTCTTAAGTTATGATCCATTTATACATATTATTTACACAAAGTCCTAACCATTTATTTTTTTACTATGAGTAAATAAAATTTAATATGATTTTTTAAATAAAAAAGACAATTAGAGTTAAAAAAAAAAAGGATAAAAATAGATAAATCTCAACAATTTAAAATAGAGAGATAAACTGCCAAAATTTTAAATAACTAATGTATATAAAATTATATATAAATAAATCTTAATTACATTTATATAAATTTATATAATTAGACTTTTGTTACATGTAACTTTTATAATTATAAAATTTACTCATACAAAATTGTACGGTTAGAATCTATTTACCCATAACTTTTACACATTTTCATTAGTAGCCAATGGCGGTAGTAGGTAAACCTCATTGATAGGATGTGATGCATGTCTTTGTTCCCTTCGAATTTGGTGAGAAAGGAAAGGTGTAGGAAATGGACCTCCATTGAAGAAAAGTATTCCAGATAAGAAATTTCATTAAAGTTAAAGCTAACCAGATTCTCTTAATTGAATTTTTTTTTTTTAAAGGAAAACCAGATGGAAACTACCTGCAAACCTCATTTCTAATTGCCATATAATCAATTAAGTGCAATAAAACAACAATTTCCTATTGTATTTTATTAATGACAATTTAATAATTTTAGTATCTAAATTACACTTTTAATATGAAATTCTATCTTGTAAAACATGTATCCAAAATACATATATAGAGAGAGGATACTCTTTTTTTTTTCTTTTTTTCTTTTTTTCTTTTTTATCTTAGGTTACACAAGGAGAAGTAATCTTTACCTATCCTTTAACTCACCTCATTTCGTGCTGTGCAATTTAAACTCATGATATTTTACTTTTAATAATAATAAAAAAAATTATCATTGAACTAAAGTCATTAGCAAATATACAAGTCTTACACATAAGTTTTATATAAAATCATAACTATTCGTTTTTCATTATTAATTATTGAGATTAATTACAGTTTTTTAAATAAAAAAGTTAATTAACTTCAAAAATAAAAAATAGATAAAGCACAAAAAAAGAAGCAAAAACAATTTAATTCATACTTTAAAAATAATATATTTTAGTTTTTTTAATGAGAGTTTATTGAAATAATATAGTTTCTTGTAACTATTCATTTCTCATTATTAATTATTGAGATTAATTACAATTTTTTAAATAAAAAAGATAATTAACTTCAAAAATAAAAAAAATAAAAAAATGCATAAAGTACAAAAAAAGAAACAAAAACAATTTAATTCATACTTTAAAAATAATATATTTTAGTTTTTTTAATGAGAATTTATTAAAATAACATAGTTTTAGGGTGATTTTCTTCTTAAGTTAGGATTCATTTATATACATGATTTACATAAAACCTTAACCATTTCTTTTTTTTACTATGAATATAATTGAGATTTAATATGATTTTTTAAATGAAAAAGATAATTATATTTAAAAAAATAAGAAAAAAAATAAATAAATCTCAACTATTTAAAGTATAGAGATGAATTATCAAACTTTTATATAAGTGATGCATATAAAATTATATGCAAATGAATCTTAATTACATTTATATAAAACTATATAATTAAAATCTTTTTACATAAAACTTTTAAAATTATAAAATTTACTCATACAAAATTATATGGTCAGAATCTATTTATCTGTAACTTTTACGCATTTTCATTAGTAACCAATAGCGGTGACATGTAAACCTCATTGATAGGATGTAATGTCTTTGTTCCTTTCGAATTTGTTGAGAAAGGAAAGGTATAGGAAATGGACCTCCAGGTAAGAAAAGTACTCCAGATAAGAAATTTCATTAAAGTTAAAGCTGGATTCTCCTTAACTGATAACTTTTTTTTTGTTTTTCCTTTCGGTAAAAAGGAAAGTTGGATGGAAGCCACCTGCAAACCTCCTTTCTAATTGCCATACAATTAATTGAGTTGAGTCCAATAAAGCAATAATTTTCTATATTATTTTATTAATGACAATTTAATAATTTTACACCTAAATTATATTTTTAATATGAAATTAAACCTTATAAAATATGAATCTCACATATATATATAGAATACTCTTATATATTTTTTTTAATTTTGAATTGCTTAATAAGAGGCAACCTTCACATATCCCTCTTAATCCACACCATCTTGTGTTGAATAATTCAAACTTATAACCTCTTATTTTCAAACAAAATAAGATTATTATTAAGTTATTTAAATCGTTGACAGAGAAAATACTCTTTACAAGTCTTACACATAAGTTTTACATAAAATCATAGCCATTCATTTCTCATTATTAATTATTGAGATTAATCACAATTTTTTAAATAAAAAGACAATTACTTTAAAAAAAAAAAAGAAATAGATAAAGCACCCAAAAAAGAGCAAAAACAGTCTAATTTAGGCTTTAAAATGAAGTATTTTAGTCTTTTTCAATAAGAGTTTATTGAAATGACATAGTTTTAAAGTTATTTTTTTTTCTTAAGTTAGGATCCACTCGCACGGATCATTTACGCAAAATCTTGACTATTTATTTTTTTTTACTATGAATAGTTAAGATTTAATATGATTTTTTAAATTAAAAGGACAATTACATTTAAAAAATAGGATAAAAAGTGAATAAATTCTAACCATTTAAAGTAAAAAAGATGAATGATTAAAATTTTACATAAATGATATGTGTAAAGTTGTGTGTAAATGGATTTTAATTACACTTATACAAAATTGTTTGGTTAAAATCCATTTACACATAACTTTTATACATTTTCATTAGTAACCAATTGGCGGTGGTATGTAATCCTCATTGATAGGATGCGATGGATTTGTGAATATATGTAAGACTGGAATTAAGTTATTTTTAAGCTTGTACATAAATATTTTTTTTGGACTTTGGGTTACATGAGAGTGAATATCCCTATTATTTTCTTAAATTTCTCCTCACCCCACTCAAACTTTAAATCTAAAATTTTCAAGTTAAAATTTCATATTCTTAACCAATTAAACTACCACTTAGAAGTGAGTCTATACATAAATTGTGGATGAAAATGCTTTAAATGTTAGCTAAAAATAATAATAATAATAAAACTATACCATGAAATGCTTGTAGATGGATGGATATTGATAATCATGCTATGTAGAATAAAGAAAGATGTAAATTGTAGTGTTTACTCTAACGGAAAATTTACGTTCTTTATTGACTCATTGTTTTTGCTATCTGCCAGTCATTATTTTACATTGCTGTATTTTCGCTCTCAGATTGTCGGGTGGATATCATCGAATTATTTGGAATTCAGTTGATAAAAGAATTTTGCCAACTATTTTTTAAAAAAAAAACAGCAATCTAAGTTTGTTGGAAGATTACTAGTACAAAATTTGGTTGTTTGATCGGTTTGTTTGCTTGAAATATCAGTAAGGGTTTCATTAATATGTGTCATAAGAGTAGAAATTAAAAGTATATTAAATATATTTTTTCATTATAAATTTGTATTAAAAAATAAAAAATTAATTTTTAATTTATTAATTATCTAATTAAATTTACTTTATATTAAAATTAATATCAATTTTTATATTTTTTATGTACATTTATAATAAAAGATATAATAAATACACTCTTATTTTATGCCTTAAGGACATATATAGGATATAAAAACCTTATTAGTGATAGTTCGTTTACTAAATGAGGGAAACAAATTTGTTTTTGTAACGAAGTTCTTGCCTAATATTCCTCAATTGACAGTAGGGCGGTAAACAGCAAACTTGATGCCCTACAGGAATTTTACTTTGATTGTTAATAATCACTAATCATTGATGAGAAGCCGTCCAAAAAAATTATTCAGGCTCTAAAAATAAGATGTCAAATTTGAAGTTTACGTTAAAATACACCTAGTCATTTGCCTTAATGTTCCTCAATTAACGGTTGGTGGTAATCATCCCTTATTATGAAAAGCATGTTCATCCTCCTTTCCTGTCGTAAGGTTGAGAAAACTAAAGGTTAAATACCTGTTTTAGTCCCTCAACTTTCACTTTTGAACTAAACTATCCTTAAACTTTAAAAAGTATTAAAAATATTCTCAAACTTTAATTTTTAGCAGCAATTTAATCCTCCTAGCAGTTATGTGCTGATATGAATAACTTTTCTGTCCAAAAATTTATTTCCCTAAATTCTTAATATTATGTGGAAATGACATGAAAATTTAAACGGGCCATGTGACCATTTTTCTTGCTTACGTGGCCATGTCATCTTATTTCATAAATTAAAGTAGTTAATTAATTATATTTAGCTCTAATTAAACTTACACTGAACAAACAACTAACGATTAAAAGCTTAATTAATAAAAAATAAAAATAAAACGACCAGAACCTACAACTCGACTTCTCCACTGCCTGCAACTCAACTTCTCTGATGGAGAATGCCTCATCTCCAGCCAAGGCTCCGACGAAAGTTCTCTGGGTTTGTACTAAAATTAAAACATGATATTAACGAAAATATACGGTGGCGAATTCGACTCCAATAGTGGATTTGGATTCAAGACTGAACTCGTTCTTGGTAAATCGAGATAACAAATTGGATTTTCACTTTTCAAACTATCATAGATGCCACTTCTTTTCCTGGAAATAAAACCGATCATATGGGCCTGATAGCTTTCAAGTCCAAAATTTCAAATGACCATCAAGGGATTTTGAAGTCCTAGAATGATTCTATCCATTTTCGTCGATGGGAAGGCATCACTTGCAGTCGTCGAAGGGACAGATCTATCCATTTCTGTCCCTTCTAATAATATTATTAGCTAAATATTTAAAAATTATAAAGAAAAACACCCCTAAATTATATAGTTCTATTAAAATTTTTAAAAATGATGCAAATAAACAATTTAACAACAACAACAACAACAGTGCTTATTAATTAGTCGATTGCCATTCTCAATTTCAAAAACAACACAGTATACTTTAATAAATATTTTTAAAAATTAATAATTAAATTTAATATTTTATTAATATTACCATACATATTAATTTTTAAATTAATTGAATATTTCTTATAAATTTATTAGTTA